GGATATAGCCGTTACCGCCGGGAACCCATAATGGGATGGGATCAAATGACGTTACATTGAGGGATTGTACTATAACTTCAGCAGGGGGAGGATAGGTTGGACATATGTCAGATTATTTTCTACGGCCACACCAAGTAATTGCTATGGATGACGTCCACTGGAGACCTTAAATCTAATTACCTTAAATTTAAGGCAAGCGCGCAATAAAAACACGAATGGCCGAAAAACGAGATGCCTAGATTTGGAATATACTAACTGTAGAAGTACAAATGTTAGGACACAAAGAACACAAGAAACAAGTCTTCTATTTGTCATAAAGACAAATTAACAAAACAGCAGTAGTCACCCTGTTCTGATTCTTTCCTTTATAACATCTTCTCTTATTATATTTTGCGGCGCTGTCGTGTCACACTTTCAACACAGTAAGAATTTCTTGAACGTTTTTTTTTTCCAGTAACAGTCCAAACTCAAATTAACGGGTTAGGGGGGGGGCTAACACGGGTGACAACGCATCTGTATAAATCTGTGGCAAACCGTTTCAGGGTGTTCTGTACCATAAAAATAGTACAGAGATTCTTTTGTTCTTTAGACCAAATTGATTATTAAAAAGAGTGAAGAATACGCATGTTAATTTCTCTAGAACGATGTACCTCTGACGAAGACATGAGATCTCCGACCTCTAGTTACATGTAAATATGTACATTTGTACTCTTACGACTACTTTATCGAATGTCAAACTAGAGAACAGGGGTATTCATAGTAATTTGGCTTATTCATTGACGATTTAACTTCTCCATTAGGTCAATCTGCTTATCAGCATTAAGAAATATAGATGAAACAATAATGTAGAAATCACTAAAACATCAACAACACTTTATCAAATATCAAACTAGAAAACAAATTTAAAGTATTCACTGAATTGAAACCCAGCTTATTCATTGTCAGAGTCTCTATTCTGTCAATCTGCCTATCAGTTATAAAGAAATAAGGCTGAAACAATCAACAATTAGAAATCGGTAAACCATCACCAAGTGTTTACCGTATGATGGCCAGGCGTGCATCCATGGCGGCTGCTGATGGCCCGGCCTCATCACAGGTGACCTGAGTCTGCACCACCTGGAAACACGACAGGCCGTACTCCGTCCAGCCGGCAGGACAACGTCCGGGAGCTACAGGAACACAAGGACATAATGATACATATAGGCCGCTGAACTCCACAGACTGGGAAAAGTTGCTGATAGAACAAATTTTTAAAAGCTAATATGCTCATACATTGTAGCTAAAATGTCACTATTTCTGTTCATATGAAATGTTTTCCACACACACACAACACAAATACAAACAACACAAAAACATTTCTGGCAAAGAGATTGTAAAATACAGTACTGTAATATGGTTAATACTTACGCCTGCATTCAATCCCATCACCGATGAAGCCATCGTTGCAGTGGCAGCCATAGATCTGTTCCTGTACACCACAGAAGGCATCGGCGTGGCAGCTTACAGCCTCGCAGCTCAGGTCATTCTTTCCATTACAGGTACAGCGCTCGTTGCAATTCTCCGTGAACCAGGTAGATCCCACCTACAGAAGATAAAGGACAGAATGATTTCATGCGTATCTGTTCAAAGTGCTCTGAATATACCCAAATACTACATGTGCCTGCAGCGCAATACAACATATACAAGTCTAGGTACATTCAGAACCATGCTGTCCAAAACCATCCTTGGGCATGGGTAGCCCATGGGTACATATGCAGAACCGTGTCAGGGGACAAATCTACATTCTTGGATACGCAGAGACTTATCCAGAACAGTGATATAACCCTGACCCATTTAGGCATTCGAACTAGATAGGCACGGTTCTGGATTCAATAAAACTCAATGATACTCACGTTATAGTAGAACCCATTGTGGACGCACCCACAGTCGAATACTGACACGCATCTTCTGCCAGACCTTACGTAACCTTCATCACAGACACATCCCTCCACACAATGCTGAGCACAAGTGTCCGGTGCGCCCGTGTCGGTGCAGGTAGCCGGACATGCCGTCCCGCACAGCTCATAATGCGAGTTGGTGGGACAACTGGGCTCTGTGAAATATAAAATAAGGAAGTTCGTTCTGTCAGCTATCTGTTCTTCTCTCGTTTATAGGAAAATTTATATCCAGAAACTAATGGTTTCCCGTGGATAGACTAGTTAAAACTGTCCATCAAAAGTTTGCAATAATTTCAGTCCATTAACACGTAGAAACAAATGTCACAAACTGCTTCTTATTATCAAGGTTAACCAATGGATGCCAACATGCAAAACTGACTGTGCTTTTTAGGTGAATCTGTTAATAGAAGTTGGAACAATACAATCACGTATCTGCCACAAGAAAAGTGCAGTTATCGTTAAGATATTCTATTAGACAGTGTGACTGGTGACACCTACGGCAGAATTCCGCAGTTCTCCATGCCAATATGGCACTTCCCAGGTGTTGGACAAAAGCAACATAAAAGCCTGCCGCTTCACAAACCTAAAAGAAAACAGAAAAATTCACTTCTTAGTTGATAGATACAATATCATTGATCAGTTGTTACAAATTAATTATACCGCCACAGATGGGCTTTCATTCAATCATTGATCAGTTGTTCTAACGTTGTTATTAGTGCTTAAACTACAGGTACTCTACTTGGTATTTTTGGCGGTTAGAAGACTGACCTCGTCAGGGCTTCCATCCGTTGCGCAACAGTCGTACACACAGTCGTCAAATATGCCACCCGGTGCCAACGCACCATGACCACCGGCAAACGGGCCCACGGCGTCCCGGATCAGGTTACACAGAGCCTCCATCCTCGGGACGTCACAGCCATTGAGCGGGTCGACTGGAGATGTCGTCGTGCCACAACTGAAAGAAAGAACCTACATCAACCAGGCTGAATCGTTAGTATCGTTCTAATTAATGCAAATATGCCATATGGGAATTATGCGAGTGAATTGACATGGGATGGTTTGGTAGAAGTCCCATGGATGGGCTTCAACTGCAAGAGACCCTGGCAGGTGGTGACGAATCGTTGAGTTTTGTCCTCAGGAACTATCTGATTACACGCCGGAAATTTAAAGCTGCAGCTACCCAGTCACAACCCACACAAGGCTCCATATGCCCAACCTACAACAGGATATCGATGTGCAGTTTGAGAATCAGACTGCATATCCACAAGAGAGCTTGCATAGGTAGGCTACCTTCCCACTGATCTTCGGACATGAACATCATCATCATCTGATCAAATTATTTCGGAAAGTGCCTTGACAATAACCGAAAAGGGAAAGACTCCACTTACGGGGCTGTTGTGACCCAACTGTCTCCGTACTCAGCTGTATTAGCTGCCGCACTCCCGTCAGGCTTCAGATTGTCATCATTCGCATCGCCGTTCCAGTTCCCACAGATGCCTCCGTTGGTGCCAGCACGATAGGGGCCCGGGACTCTCAACTGTCAAACGCATCAATCGCTTTAGAGTGCATAACAGATTTTCTTTCTATTGAATTTTGACATGAAATTACTAAACACCTCTCAAAGCAAATGTCTGACAGTTTCCAAAATCTATTCAGTTGCTCAAGTACCTGTTTTCTTGTGTATTTCATTACCTGCATGTGTAAACTTCATCGGCGAATTATAAGGTTTATACATGTATTACTATTAGTAATGTATTTACATCACATTTAGAATCATGATAAGGTACAGGTAGTAACAGAAAATAAGATTGCTTGTTAATTCAATAAGGAATAAATCATAAGCTAGCTGTATTATTTGGTATGATAATGAGAGAGAAGTACAAATGTACATGCATCTCATGTAGACATATATATATATGTGTGTGTGTGTCTACATGAGAAGTCTTTTTCACTTACCTGTACACCGCTTTTTCCAGACACTACCACCAGCAGTCCAAAAGAAGTCTTTATAACAACGCGTTGGCCAGACTGTCTCACTGTCAGACCATGTGGAAGAGTGCTGCCTAGATTAAATTGCCAGCCATTCCACTGTGAAAAAAAACAACAGTTTACCAATCATCAAAAAACTAGACCTCTGTTGAGAGACAAAAATAAACATCACGACCATTAGACACGTAGTTTGATTCAGCCAGACTCACAAACCGCTATAGCATGCTGGAAGATATTTTCAATACTCCCAAGTAACATTCGATTCATGAAAAACCTATCCATTTTGTAATGGATCAAACACTGAATAAACAGTAACATACTTCATGTTGCTCACATATATAAACTCACCAGCACAGCTTTGTTTGCCAGTAGGACGTCAATTCTTACTCCATAGATGAGGAGGGACACTTTCCACACATACGACACATGGGTCCTCCCATTTCTAAAAAAAGACAAAAATTAGCAACAAAACTACAGATTGATCTAGTGGATACACATCGATTATCACATTACATATCATTTCCTTTATTTCATAATATATTTGAGTCTTTTAAGACAATCAACGTTTTTTTAATGACCACATCAACATTGCTTTGTGTGACATACATATACATAACATGCACGTTGCTGTCTTCCTGTTGAGTTTTCACCATGTGTGAAGGTAACTTATTCCTGACCTTTGGATGAGACCTTATCTGTACGTAGAATCCTTAGTTGTAGAGTTTTCGGTTGATCGGATTAAAGTTGACGAAAATTTATGGTGAGTTCCTTTCTTGTGTTGGAACAAAATTTAAACTCTACAATTATTACTCCTGACCTGTTTTTCCAGTGAGATATAGACTGAGAGGGCTGGCAAATCTCCGGATCCAGCCGTCTCAAACAGGATGTACTCGCAGATCCCTTGGTAGTCGTGCTTCCGGCTATCAAAGGTGTAACAATGGGTGCCACCGTTACACTTACACACGCCCTCCGCTGTTTAAACAAAGCACAGAACATCTGTGTTACTTTTGCAGTACAGGCATCGGTATGATACATACATGTATAACTAACAAAAATTGGATCAGAGACCCGATCAGTATTATCATTGGTTTATGATTAAGTCTGTAAAGTGTAATGTAGATGTATTCTTTTGACCAGGACAAAGCAGAGAGAGTGAGAGAAAGGGAGGGAGAGAGAGAAAGGGATGGAGGGACGGAGAGAGAGGGGAATGGAGGGAGGGAGAGATAGAACAATCTGTCCGTACCTCCTTCGCAAGTGCGGCCGTCACCAGTGTACCCCGGTCGACACTCGCAGTTGTAGGAACCGTGCGTGTTGATACAGTCTGCGTTCGCGTCGCACTCATGCGTGTTCTCAGCACATTCGTCAACTTCTCCTTCTTCTGAGGCCAAGTCCTCGTCAATCAGGCCATCGCCGTCATCATCCACCCCATTCCGTAACTCCTCGTCCACCCTCTGGTCACAATCGTTGTCAACTCCGTCTCCAGAGGAAGTTTCTGTCTCCGTACATGGGTCCTGTCAGCAGACAATGGCAAGTCTTTTACTACCTTATCAATGATTCAGTGTTGGAGGACAAGATATTTAAGACGGAAGGACCAAGACCTGCTGGCCGCTAGACAGAGTTGTCGGGAGTGACATCATGAATGGTACCTCGTATGAGGACGACCTGAACTGAACAGATCACACATCTCCGTGTGCCTTAAAATATACTAATGTGGGGCAAAATGCCGCATTATAGCATCATCATTAGGGGCACGGTAGATGATTTATTAGTGATAATGGGGTGTACTCGGATTGCACATCTGAAGCCGTTAGAGGTATGGGAGGACGTGGTTGAGTTACAGCAAGGAGTTAATCTTCTGACACAAGCTTGTCTCGTGATCCAACCTGTTACTCAACTCTCAGTACTTCAAGTTTTAAAGCTTTACAATTTTAAAATGCTGCAACATACCCCATAGGGATACAGCCGACTTCCTCCAATGGATGCAAAAGATTCATACGGGGTGTGACCATACAGGTACAAAGAGAAGACAGCTATCGGGTTCGTGTGTCGGGCGTTGTGGGTTCCCGCGCTAATTTGAACCGCTGCTGCCGAGAAGTCGCTGCCAGGAATCTCCGTCCACGTCGGGCTGATCGCAGCACCATCCAGTCTGATACCGTCGCGCTCACTGGTCTTAATGACGATACCTTTAACAGAAGGAAGCATGTCACATCGTACCGCAGATAAACTGATTCAAAGTACTACCGCAGTTAAATAGATTATTGTCATATATAAAACAAAACCCGCAAATAATTGTTAATCACAAGGGTGAGTGAAAGGAATTGCATTTAGGATAGACCCATACTGCCACCCATGTAATACGTGAACTGTAACATTACTGTTACCTATGTAATTATTGGACTGTGGCCATGCTGTTATAGTTATATACCTGAGGCTTTGGGAAGCGGCTGGAAAGAACAGAATTTGGCTAAATAGACAGATGATATACCAGGGGAGTTGGTCCGCGCTAAGAGAACAGTTTGCCGCTCAGAAGCGACAAAATGTACTTTCTATTCTAGCTAGTGGACCTACTCCCTTGGTATTTTATCTTGTATGATCTGCCCAATTTCTTCTCTTTCCAGCTGCTTCCCGGAGCCTGGTAGACCTCTGTTACGTGATGGGCCGTATCTGTACTAGAGCTGTTCTTTATGTACTAGTAACTACATGTGAACTGTACTGTTACCTATGTAAGTGGTGTACGTGTTGGTCGGGGAGTCGACTGTGGCAAAAGTGTATCGTGAATCGTACTGCTCCACGGGAGAAATCAGCATCATGAAGGGGTCGGTCTGAACCCAGTCTGCAGCTTGACCTGGAACATGTGAAAGGCAGTTTTGTTTATTATCCACAATGTTAGGCAGGTATCATACCAGACAGCAACTACATAATTGTGCGATAGAGACCGGTTTCTCAAGCTCATAGTCTCTTTCGTATACATGTCACAGTGTGTGCAACATGCAGTTCAATTATCCACATAACCGACTGTAACGTTATATGTTTAAGAGTGTGGCTATTGACACTCCTGGTGTGGATATAACTCAATTTTGTTTTTCTTATTGACACTCCTGATTGTGGATTTCGCTATTGACACTCTGGACACTCACAAATATACTTAACCCTAACCCTGAGCTACAATAATCAAAAATTGGATTTAGTAACTTACGACTGATTCGTGCGAATTCCCGTGCCTCTTGAATGCGGTAACTTATGCATCCAAACTTTGCTGCTCAGGCAGTACGCAAGTTCTCTTAGCTTGGCAGGGGAACTTTTCAACGTTTTCCGTCAACTAAGGTTTCATTTTCAACCGTTTTGCTTTGTCACCTTACTAAGCTCGACGTGGTTGGTTTTCTGTAACACCTCCAGCGCTGGCTTGAATCTGTCCATGTTGAAAATTCGTCCCCTAACTTCAACCGGGATGACGCGGCAGCCATGTTGATGCTTTTGGTGCTAGGGACAGTTATGCGGTAAATCCTCTGATTGGCTGGCATTTCGTGTTGTTTTCTGATTATCGGCCTTTTCGACATCCACTAACTTAAAACTTAAAGCCCATGGTTTGAACTTGAAGCCCCTGCTGAGGCCCCAACCCATGTTATGGGCCTGTCACGGAGACGCAGCATTCCAGTGTGTCAATAACCACACCAGGAGTGGAAATAGCCACAGCGAATGTTGAATGGGTTAATCACACATTAGCGGCCCCTAGCGATTTTGTTTCGAAGCGCACCATATGAAATATGCATGTGGAGCAAAAGCAATCGAAACGTACTAACTAGTATAATTATGCTCATGTCTGAAATAATGGGGACAGTTCAAACTTGCATCTTTCAAAGATTTAGCTCAAATGCACCACATTGGTGGATTAGAACATTGAGACCAACGTTTATGATTATTAAGTTACCGCCTTATCATTGAAGTCACGGAGATGATGATTACTAACGTTAGTATCAAAGTTGTTTTTGTTGAACCCAACCTACCTTTGTTGTACTGCACCACCATGATTGGATTATTAGCAGTTATGCTCAAGTATTCAGTAGAAGATGTTTCGATGTCAACAAACCGTCCTTCATTTAACGATTCCGAGCTTCGTCCAACAATGTCGATCTGCAAACGGACAAAGATTGATGGTCATCGTCAGTTATCTTAAGAGACTGAGAATGAGACAATTTTAACGTACACACTCTCTCTCTCCCTCCTCCACCGCATATGTCAGCTGCTGCAGAGGCATGCTGCTGATCATTGAAGTATCGCTTTGAAATACATTTAGTACATGCCGTGTATTAGCTTCCAGAAGTTACCCGATCTGCACATGATAGGCAGCATAGCAAAGCTGGTGCATAACGTTGCCAGCACCTACAGTATATATGAAGTAATGGTACGTGGTATCCCCCCTCTAATATTGTGGTTTAGCGGCATTTTTTGGAGGATGTCATCCATAAAATTATGTCAGTGTAGCCTAACTACTAGTACTAAAAAGCGTCTTACGTCAGTTCCGTCTTCAGACGCGATGATCCTGACGATATCGCCGCCAGTTCTCCCCGCGATGGGCATGGTGACGAAGGTCCTGCCCAGCGTGGACTTTGCCGGAATCATTTCTACAAGGTGGTCACACCAACCAACGCCTTCCGGGACATTGCCGCACCTGTGGCCGCTCAACACAGCTACAGGCTTGTCGGAGGTGACGGTTGTCCCAGTCAAATCACCCCAGTAACCTGTAACCTGAGCTGCGTCAAACCTACGAAGAATAGGGAGATAATGGTTACACTATATAGCTACATGTAACTTTATGTTAGTTGTGCTAGTACATATGTCATTTGTACTTGTGACCTCTCATAGCTGTCACTTCGTCATGTACGAGGTAGGTAGACAACTAAACGGGAGATGTTGAACTTGAACTCCAATAAAGTCCCGGATAATGTTTTCTGTGTACAAATACATGTACATGTAGACAAATGAACCAAAGTATGTCTAGACCTTACACTGCCAGTACTGTAGTGTAAACGACGATAAGTTAAACTCAACATGCCGATGGTCCATATACATGACTAGAGTTCACGTGGATCCACTTGTTTGTTTGTAAGGCCACACCGATTTAATTTTATGGATGACATCCTCTGAAGACCCCCAAACTAGTGCGCGCGGGCGAAAAAAAATAAAAATCCGGCCAAAAATAAAAATGCTACAAAACCACAGGAATACAAACCTGGTATTGTGAATTTGGCGCATTACATAGCGACGTATACGACAGGCCGACACGTGCTGGATTTTTGCGGAATATATGAATCGACACTGCTGTACGTATGTACTGAGTTGAGTCTTGGAGCTTCGGTAGCCTGGCTGCCGTCAACCAGAGTTATCACCACCATGCACTACCCAGGCCTAAAGCCAGGCCAGAGCCTCGGAATACGTGATCTTTTTTTTTGAGATCGGGCGAAAATCAATGCGCGCGCGGATGTCATCCATAAAATTAAATCGGTGTGGCCTAAAGTTGCAGTAGAGTACTAGACCTTACGAAAGTGGCTGTGCTGGACAGAGTTGAGTACTTGCATCAAATCAAATCTATTCCAGCGACATCTCCGAAATCCATTGTCATCACTCACGGTAGCTCACTTAATAAAGATTTGAGCCATGTTGTCCTATTTTGACAATGCTTTGTTCTGGCTTTGCATCTGACTGATTATTAGAGAGGTTTTAGAAAGCTGTGACAACGAGGAAGTCGTTTTCCTGGATTTTCGTATTCACTTGGGGGCAAAGATGCACCTTAAATAGTTATTGAGTAGCTTAGCTTGTTTTTAAATCAATGCATCCTAACAGACACCTTTGATACCAGCAGGCAGAATAATTACACCATCAATTTCATACAACCATGTCAAAAGTTTAGCGTACCTGCTATTTAACGTAAAGGTAAAGCTTGCAGCGCCTTTGTATCGACCATCAAACCGCACGGGTGATGTTGGGTCGATTGTGACCTCGGTATTGTCTTCCACGGCAACTACACCGATCTCAGCGGGAATGCTCCGTGTTCCCTGAAATAGGAAAGGAAGATCTGTAAGGTTTTTTAGTAGTTATGCTTTACCTTCGCAGAAGGAAAGCATGTTGTTTCTGCTCAGTTCCTTCTTCTTCTCCAAACACAATAAGTCAATGATCTGGACCAGGCGAGTTTGATACGAAGTGATAATACAGGGTAACAGTACGTACCGGCCATGACGCCACGACGTAGGATGTACCCAAGACATCTTCAGGAAGTCCGAGGAAGCCATCCGTGGTGTAGTCTTCTTTGTTAACCTGTAACATAAACGTCAATTACAAGACCTTCCATATCACACAGAAATACCACTGAGAATTTGATTCATTTCCAATTTACCATGCTATAAGCTAAATATCTATGGAGTTCTTGTCTCATTTTTCTGTTTTATTTATCTAATTTGTTATCGTCATTGCATATCGATTCCAAATATGACATTATACTCATAAATTGTAATAACTGAATGTCAAAAATAGGATTAGATGGACTTAAAATATTTCTTTGATCGAACTTTGCACTTAGAGAAATTAAAATATATAGGTAAAGCATGTCCACTTACACCGTACACTACAATATCGACGTCAGATACGATCTCGATTCCCCTGTTGGTAATGGGCCCTTCCTGCAGTTTGACGCCTGCTGGAACTTGTACCATCAGGATGTTGTTAGCTTGCACCGTACCTGGGAAATAGACCAATAAGTGAATACATGTACATGAATATGAAGGAAGGAATTAGACGTCTGGAAATATCCTACTAGCGTGGAATATGTCTAGTCTGCAACGTTATTCAATTACATTAAAGAGGAAGTCAGAAGTCGGCCCAAGAAACAGGTGTTACGTTTTTGTGATGAAATTTTGACATTTCAATGATGATATTATGTCGAAACTAAAACGCAAACAAACAAGCTTATAATTATTCATTCATTTTTCTTATTCCAACATTTCACACAAGACATGGTGACTTCACACTCAAGTTTGTCAACTTATTTTTATGTCGCCACCAACACAGAGGACAATAGACAATACTCATTTTCACCTGAGTTAAATTAGGAAAGTTGTTAAGTTTGTAAAGTGCTTCGAATACCCGAGGGCACAAGATCGGTGGCATGGCAGGATTCGAACCCGGGACCTCTTGGTTCCGAGCCGAGCACTCTATCGTTTAATACGCCACATGACCCCATTCATTCATGTATTCATAGACAGGTATAATTTTCCTTGCTTTCGCCTTTTACGAACGAAGATGCCTGTTACGTTAACTACGTACTTGTTTGTGTGAAGTCCACGTACGGAGCGTTGACCGTGAAGGTGGCTGGTTCATCCCCGGCTGGAGCGATGAAGAGCTCGGCAGGACGGTTAGCCACGTAGTTTTGTAAAAATACCAGCATGAACTTCTTGTAGACGTTGTCCGGAGGACCGAGTCCTATGCAGAAAATACGAGAAAACGGCAGGTAACATCAACAAGGAGAAGAACAAGGCAAAGGGACCGAAAGGCCAAAGGACTGGTACTAAACACAGCCTCGTGTATTACTGCAGAAAAACGCTAGATGGTGCTCTTTTCTAGGGCATGAGAGTGAGTCACAAAGCATGCTGACTGAGTTCGAAAAGACAACAGAGCACATGTGTGTGTTTGTGTAGCAACTTTACCACGGCAACAGCCTCATAATCTTCCAAGCCAGCAATAACAACGATAAGGCCACACCAAGTAAATTTTATGGATGACGTCCTTTGGAGACCCTAAATCTAATGCGAGAGGGCGAAAAAAAAACAAGAAGGGCCCTAAAAACAAGATGCCTAGATTAGAAATGTACTAAGAGACGACAAATGTTAGGACACAAATTGAATGAGGTGACACAGTGTAACAAGCAAGAAGTCTTTTATTCATCATCAAAACAGCAATAAATCAGGTGGAACAGTGGACAGTGAAAAATTTTCTGTTCTGTTCCGACACCTCGCGTTACGGGTTTCACGTCAATCTGACGATTTGCGACACTGCCGTGACTTTGGTCATAGTTACAGGAAGCAAAATTTCTTGTTTTTTTTCTAGGAAGAGGCCAAAATCAATGCGCGCGCGGACGTCATCCCATAAAAATTTACTTGGTGTGGCCTAAGGAGCTAAAACAGATTCAGGATGAAAAGGGCTGATATATTTACTAGCGTAATACTAGTCATAACAAGCGAAGGCCGGTTATACTCGTGGGAAGAAGTGTTCGTAGTGGCACATCGTACTTTCCAAACAGTTCCATCCAACGTCCAGGTACTTGAATGTTCCGAAACAAGGATCTCCAAATACGCTGTTGGAAGCATCCACCGAACAGGACTCCCTCCCGTTACATTGTTCCTGTAAAGTGATAAGAAAACCGGTGTATTGGTCTGCAATGTTAACCATCAGATGAGAAAATAATAGAACATATTGCTTATCAATCCGAAATTAACTTTTTTTAGAGATAGATTATGAACGGAGGGCCTTAGGGGCTTAAAGAAGCACAATAAATTCTATGGTGAAAATAATAACAACGCAGACTGCAGGGTATAAAGTCAAAAAGTATTTCTACAGAAAACCCTTGTACAAACTCGAAGACAAGGAATGTAACGTTGTTACATCAAATGACCTTCAAGTTGACCGAGGACTTTTACCAAGTTGGCCTTATCTAGACCTCTTTCTATTGCAATTGAGGAGAAGAAACGGTAGATCGACTTTCGATTACTAGGTTTTAACTACAAATGGAAGAAACGCCAGAGTCACCATACAATAAAGCTCCAGATGGTAAATTGAGTACAAAACAGGGTGACAGGAATGAAGTGTGCAAACCTGCAAGATGTCCATACTCGAGTCAGCGTCGCACTCTATGGTATGACACGGTTGCCCTTCCGCACAGGTGGTCCAGTCTGACCGGCCGTAACTGGCTCGGACGATTTCAATGATGCCGCCGTCACAAGTTATCTCCATGGTTTGGTGCTCACAGGTTTGTTCCTCTAAACACAAGAGAGGAAGGCACGAAGTGTTAAACATGTTTACAACATGGATGTCGTTGATATCATAAGATAGTGACTTCTCTCAAAGTCATGTAAAGTTGTCTATTGTTTTTGATCTGGATCGTTCCCATGTTCCTTGACTTGAGCAATACCCGGGGGTTTGTTACATTAGATGAAAAAAGACACACTAGAGTTTAGAACCAAAAGCCTGATGTTAAAGAACTTATATTTTCAAATCTTGTTTCTCTTAGACGCTCCAGTCAGCTCTCTATGTGTTTATCAATACTGGGACTAATCCTTGGCTAATTATAAACACGTTGAACGACATGCAGTTGGGTTAAAACTCGCAAGAGTACGGATAGGACGCTCAGTACATCAATGGCGTTTTTTTTCTTAACTTTTCACATTTGTCATTTTCGTGTCAAATTTTTTAGGTTCTTCATATTTTGGCTTTTGATAACAGGAACACTCATATCATATGGAATGCCTCATCCATTTACAGTTCAAATATGGATATTTCACATTCTTTGTTATTTCAGAATCATTGACATAGAGGTTGATAATACCGTTGTCAGATTCAACTTCTGTCCGTTCGCCGAAGTTTCCAAAGTCCCGCATGTTGGGGTTGGCTCCGCGTGCCCTCACCACAACCCCGTACGTCCCTGGAGGACAACAGGAATCAATGAATGAAAGACCTTTAATCTATTGTACGTTTGTGCTCTAACAGGCTAAGTACAGGTCATGAATAAACAGGGGAAAAGAATACAGCAATAATACTTAAACTATGCAGATAACACAATTTCTCTAATCATATTTGACACAACATTGAAGTTTCAATCAATATAACTAAGGCGAGTAGATCATTGTATAAGTTTGGCTTTAACTGCGCAATGACCCGAGTATAGCATGGTGGATACTGTTTACTTTTCTTTTATACACGCATATAGACACTTCACCTACACATCGTGACGGTAACTCACCAAGAAGGGCCACGAACAGAGTAAACTTCATCTCTTCAGCTGTTCAGGTCCGGTGTTGTCGTCTGAAACCTGTAGACAGACAGACCTTTTTGGTTATTTTTTGTCACCGGGCATACTACACCGCAATACATATCACAATTCTGGTCACAATTCAGGCAATATTTGATCGTTGCTTTCAAAATTCGACGGTCGCAGCTACACTCCACATCAATTATATGTGTGTGTTAATTCGTGTGTGGTTTATTATTTGATTGTCACTGTTTCATAACATTTATACTCAATTTATATTTCTCTAAAGCAAGGTCTAATGTTAGGGAGGATCCATTTTCAAAAGTACGAATTGCCTAAGGCAAATTATCATTTAGTGTTGGTCCGGATAGGGCCACCGAGCGGAATTCGAACTGAACGTCTGTACAAGAGGACACATGGTGATTCTGATGACTGGTGAGATTTCCGATGACCCTAGTGCCCCCTTTTCCACTCCACATCACGGCATGAGGGACAACGCCTCCCCGACATTTACCTGAACTATCGGAATGACGGATTGACCTTCATAACGCTAGATGATTGTTAG